AAATCTATTCTGGTTACTAACAATCCTCCATCTTATTATATACCTATTTTTGTCCGAAGCATTGTGAGGACTTAACTGTTTAAGAAGACTTGAATGCATGATCATGCAATGTTAGTCCAAAACTACCAATCAAAATCGAGAATTGAGGTTCCCGTAATAATCTGCAGCCAATGTAATCTGTGTTACACATATACACGTATTTCGCTTTGGACTTGTATCAGTTTCTGATTTCCTAGTTTATAATAACCATTTTCTTTCTTTACATTCTTCTAAAATATCTTTTAAATTTTTAGGTTGTTGGTTCACTTTAAACAACAAACAATCTAAACAAACAAAACTACTTATCTTTGAATCTTCTTAACACATTCAAATTACTAAAACCAAACATATTACTAACTCATATGCTCACTATATTATTAACACAGTGATCATTCCTACTCTTAAATACTAACTTCAAAATATTGTAATTAATCAATCAACTTGCAACAAAATTTTCACTTAGCATATTGGTTTTGTCAAACTTAAAGCCAAACTTTGTTATACAATACTTTTTAATACTCTTTTATATCTAAAAATTTATAACATTAAACATATTTAAGACATTCAACTGCAACATCATATTTCTAACCTTCTCAAATGACTTAATAATCCTGACCTATTAGGCACATCTATTCATATTTAAATCCAACAATTACAAAAAAATCTTTGGTCTCCAATCAGCATTTTCTCTTATTCCAATTTAATTATTAATAGTCTTAACTGACTAATTAAAACTTTAAAATTATACAGCTTATTAAACATATTGGTTAGACATTTTTAATTAATCCAACTTATAACATTCCTTATACTTTATATGATGGACCTATTTCTTTGGAATCTTTTTTCTCTTCTTATTCTAAATACTCTGTTTTTAAAAAACAACTTAGATATCACAAACTTCTCTTTTTCGATCAACTTACTACTTATAATAATTTATATTCATTACATTGGCATCATATTTCTCTAAGACTAAACAAACTTCCTAAAGGTATTATATCTCAATAGTTTACTATTCTTGAGAATATTACTACAAGTCATTCCTATCAACATTCATTATATAATTATTTTAATCTACCTCAATCAAACTACTTTTCTTATACTACTAACTACTTTAACTCTAATACCAAGTCCTGGTTACTTACTGTTTTCAATAATCAAATTATTATTAACAAGGCCAGAAGGCATAATAGTCCTATAGGCCTTATTTTTATCACTTACTGACACTGTTCATTTTAGTCTCAATTTACTAACCTTTATTCTACTCCTCTTTTTACTACTATTATATGTTTTGGATGCCATCTTAATTCCAATACAATTACTAACAAATGCACCATCTTTATTCCTACAAATTTGGCTACTAAATTACTTTGTTATATTAATTTTGACAAAACTTTTAACCTACATACCAACTTTCTTAATATTGCATACTTTGTAGCTATTCAATATTCTGTACATATTCCATCTTCTTTTTCATTAACAATTAATCTACAACAATTACCTTGTATTTTTCAATTATGCCAATTTACTGACAGTTTACAGTTTATTGCTAATTCTAATTATAACCTAACTACTAACTTATTTTATACTGATAGTTCTGTTATTGAGCTTGGTACTTTTCAATGCTCTATAGGTATAGGCTGGGTCCAAGTTGATAACTTTATAACTACTCATTTATTTTAGACACAAGTTAAACTTTAGTCATGCTCCTTTAAAGCTGAAATTCTTGCTATCCTTTCTGCAATTATTATTGCTTTCAGAAACTGTTTTGTTCATATTTTTACTGATTCACAATCTGTAATCTTCAAATATCACAGTATCTGCTCATCAGTTTCTAAACTTTCTCATACACTATACTTCTCTATTTGGTAAACCCTTATTAACTTCATTAACTCATACAATATTCAGCTTACTTTTCACAAAGTTACTATATACCAAAATAACTTATTCAATAATCTTGCTGACCAGCTTGTTTATAATTATCAAATACTATCTTTTTTAATATTTCTAAGTAAGAACCCTTATAACTCTGCATATATTCTATTTATTGACTAATTTTCTATTGAGATTCCTATTCGATGCTCTATTTATACTATCTGTTAAGCTCATATTATAATACTTTAGATATCTCAACATTATTTTCAACAATGTTTACTATTGCATCTAATATTAACTGAGAAGCCACTTGACTTTATATTAATATCAATCAAAAAGTCTCTAACTTTGCTTATAGTTTTCATTTCTTTACTCTAAAAACCTTTCGTGTTAAAATTCTCTTAGATGAACTATCTGTTTCCTATACTTTTCACAAATGTAATTCTTCTTACTCTCCTCTTTGCCACTAATGCAACCAAACTAGTTCCTTACTATACTGAACTCTTTGTCCTTTTACTCAAACAATTTATTATTTAATCTTTAATTCTCTTAACTGCATCTTAAATACTACTGCTCTCGACATGTCTGCTAATTTTGTTTTTAATCTACATCAAAAAATTCTTATATTTAACAGTTTTAAATTGTATAACTTTTCTTATATATCATCTCTTATTTCTATTTTATCTGGCTTAATTTCTATTGATCTTATTTCTACTATTCATAATACTTCTATTTCTTATCATATAGCTATCTTTCTTTCTATTAAATTTCTTCTTCATTTAAATCAACAAATATATAAACAATTATGAATTTTATATTGTATTTCATGTTTAGCACAGTCTTCAATTACATTTTCTACAAACTTAACTTATAATTTTCTTTCTAGTCTACCATTATCTCCTATCTCAATATCATAAATTATTATTAAAATTGATCTTTAAACTATCCAATGGATTAAATATCATACTCCTTTCTCATATATTATTACTAACATCCAAATCTAGATGAGCCTTGGTCACTCTTGTAGGTTTAGATTACAAATTATATGTCTAAGTCTTTATTCTTCATATGTAATTTAAAAGCAAGTTTTTCTTTATAAAAACTTTAATTGAATTTTAATAAAGTTAAAAACATGGCCTTATCATTAATATTAAAAAAAAAAAACTAATTATGCTAAATTTTTCAATTATACTACATATATTGATTATGCTAATTATACTACATTTACTATCTAACATATATATTATTTTAATTATGCAATTGATTCTTTAAATAAATTATTATTATTTTTTATTTTTTTTATTTTTTTTATTTATATAATATCATAGTAGAAACTTTAAAATACAATAAGAAATTTATTACAGAAAAAAATTCCTAAAATAAAGATTTTTAAACTACATTTGTGTTGCTAAAAAATAGACACCCAATGTGACATTACATCTCCTATTTCCTAATAAGTGCTATAGATAATTGTTTCAAATTATTTTCTAACTAGGATAGGTTGGAGAAAACCTTAAATTATTATTTTAAATCATAACAGTATAAAATTAAATATAACTTAATAACTATAATATATTTGCACTATGTTGCAATTGATAAAATAGGTATATAGTAAATATAAAAATTAGAATATTTAAATAAAAGACCCATAAGCAGGTCCTAGACATAACAACTAGTATAAACCTTTTAAATGAACTATTTAAATTAAACAATAACTAAAGTTATACAAGTAACTAGTTATATATTCTTTTGATAATTGCTTTTGTAATTGTTATACAAACAGCTATAAGCTGAAATATATTATCAATAAACTTCTGAATTACAAGTAATAATTTAAACTAACTATAACAATTATGACTAAACCAATCTAGCTAACTTAATTAATCAATGTAATGTAATCAACTAACTAATATAACTAATAATTGTGTGATTTAATTTATGATTTGATTTCAATAAATTCCAAAAAGAAACATAAAATTGAGCAGAAGTATGGCTGTTAGCTAGCTGATTAGCCAATATATTAGTCGGCTGGCTTAGCCAGCTAACTAAAACCTTACGGCTTAAATTACTAGTCACAAGTACTCACCTTAATATTAAAAAAAAAATAATAATAATATAGTTTGAACTTTTATTCTTTTATGTAATTTTTATTTTGTTGCATACAAACTTAATTTACTTTAGCACATTTATACTAAAGTTTAAGTTAAAATTATTACTAAAGAAATGAGAAGGCCTTACCTTAATACCAAAAAAAAATATATATATAGCAATATCAAAAAATATAAAAATATTAATTTTCAAAAAATTATTTAATTTTAAAATTTTTTTTAAAAAAATTAATATTTCTATACTCTTTTTTAATATTGCTAACTTTAAACCCTAACCAATTTTTATTAACAAGTATAGAAATATCAATTTTCAGCTTCCAGTTAGTACAACAACCTAAGAGAAATGCCCTAGATACTTTATATTTTAAAGTTAATAACTGCCAAAATGCCACATTAAACAATAATAAATCGAACTTTTTTCCTATTGAAAAATCCCAAGAATTTTATACTTGTTTGATGCAAAGAAATCAGCTGAGTAATAATACGCGTTAATTTTACCAAATGACACGAAGAACAAAAGAATCGAGAAAATCAAAAATAAATGAGACCCGGAATCGATAACTGATCCCCAAATTTGACAAGTATCATCCTTGTTTCCACCAGATGACCACATATCGATCGGATTCCAGTATAACGATAAATTCCGTGGTATCACTTTATTTCATATTGTAACACATGACTTCTGTAAACTCACGTTTTAAAGGTGACAAGTTCGACCCGAGTGATTTATTAGTGTGTGCAACAAGAAATTTACGAAATCATGAAATGTTACAGTAATACTGTCGTAATACCGTACGTACATGCTATAAAACAAAAACTAAAAAATTAAAACTATTGAAGTTGTAAATCTACTGAAATATTATTCAGACAATGAATAATTTTAAAAAAAAAGTTGTAAGTCGTTCTTCTTGCGTCCTTTTTGTTCTACTAGCCCTTACGTACCCTTACCAGTTTACCCTTCGTATTCCATCCGTCCTTTAGCTACGGAAAACGGGTGACTCAAATAATAGTAATGGTAAACCTGGTAGCAGTACAAAGCCTTCAACAAAGAGTTCCGGAAACTCAACAGAACCCACTCCCTCCATAGTTGTTATAAATGTGGGGGAACAGGTTGGACTAGCTATATTTTATTTCACAAAGGCTCTGACGATATATATCAAAAAAAATCGTGACTGATATATGTCTTTCTGGCTTAATCTGGTGTTTTTATTTTTCTCAGAGGGGACATACCTCTTCAGATAACACTTCGCCCATTTCTCCTGCAAATAACCATAAGTCTCATTCAAAAGAAGAGCCTCCAAAGAGGGACCCTTTGAATCGTTTAAAAGGTGCTCCAAAAGATGTTATTCCTCTAAGTAAAGTTCCGCGGCGTCAAAGGTCATCGAGATTCCATGCTTCAGGAGTAGTTGAATTGGAAAAATTACCTAATTTCAACGGTTAGTCTTGACAATTTACCCTTTTAAGAACTCACCTTCGTTAAAATAGTCATTGAGCAATTATATTGATTGCCATTGAACAATTATACTATAATGTCAGAGGTTTCACCGGATAAAAGACAAGAACTTTTCTTAAGAAAACTTAATCAATGTTCGGTAATTTTCGATTTTAATGATGCAAGTAGTGACCTAAAAGGAAAAGAGATAAAAAGGTCAACATTGTCTGAGCTCTTGGAATATATTACTACAAATCGTGGAGTAATTACTGAACCTATATATTCAGAGGTCGTTTCTATGGTTGGTTGTAAATTTATAATTAGATAATATATTTTTCGGTTTAATTTGATAGATAATAATATTTGGATAATAAATCTGCTCATGATTGGTTAGTTTGCTATTAATCTTTTTAGAACCATACCTCCACAAGTTAATCCTATTGGTGATGCTTTTGACCCTGAAGAGGATGAACCAGTCCTTGAACTCGCATGGCCACACCTTCAGATTGTTTACGAATTCTTCCTTCGATTCATTGAGTCACCTGATTTCAACACAAACATTGCCAAAAAATATATTGATACACAATTCATATTACATGTATGAACAATATTCAATTTTGATTGTGTGATCATTCATTTTCTCGAAAAAGAAACAAAAAAGAAAATAAAATCCTGAATTTTTCTCTTCCTTCTCGTATTTTTTTCCTTTTTTCTTCTTGTTTTGTGTCTAGTTGCTGGAATTATTTGATAGTGAAGATCCGAGAGAACGTGACTTTTTAAAGACGACATTGCACCGAATTTATGGAAAATTTCTAAATTTACGCGCATTTATCCGAAAATCGATTAACAATGTGTTCTTCCAATTTATATATGAAACAGAACGTCATAATGGTATTGCAGAATTATTAGAAATTCTTGGAAGGTAATATCTTTATAAATGCATACGTTTCTAATTATATTTAATTATTTATGCAGGCTAATCATAGTATCGCTATTTTTTAGTATTATCAATGGTTTTGCATTACCATTAAAAACAGAACATAAAACATTCCTCACGAAAGTGTTGATACCTTTACATAAAGTCAAATCATTGACATTGTATCATCCACAATTAGCTTATTGTGTTGTGCAATTTCTAGAAAAAGATCCTTCATTGACAGAAGAAGTATGCATATTCCATTCTCCAAGTTCATATGTAAATCAAGATTAAACATTTATTTAATATCTCCATATATCAAATATAAAAATAATTAGGTCATTTGTGGCTTATTAAGATACTGGCCAAAAGTAAACAGTCCCAAAGAAGTAATGTTTTTGAATGAGATTGAGGAAATCTTGGATGTTATAGAACCACAAGAGTTTATAAAAGTTCAAGTACCATTATTTCAACAAATTGCAAGATGTGTATCGAGTCCACATTTTCAGGTATTAGCTTTTAACATTTTAAAATTTATATGACGCAATAATAATCTTAATTGACGTATTTTAACCATATGAAGGTTGCTGAAAGAGCTTTATATTATTGGAACAATGAGTACATTGTTAATCTGATAGGAGATAATGTAAATGTCATTTTGCCAGTAATGTTTCCCCCTTTATACCAAAATTCTAAAGCCCATTGGAATAGGTAATCATTTTTTTTCGTTATCACAAATGTTTAATAATTTGATGGTTTAAATTTATCATGCATGTGTTTTATCTTATATTAAAGAACGATCCATGGTTTGGTATATAATGCGTTAAAGTTATTCATGGAAATTAATCCAGCACTATTCGATGAATGTACGGCACAATACAAACAAAGCCGCCAAATGTGAGTATAGTTTGTTTAAAGCATTTTATTAATCTGAATTGTTAAAATCAATGAAATTGCTTTATGTGACAGGGAAAAGAAACGAATGAGGGAACGAGAGGAAACATGGCATAGACTAGAAAGAACAGCTGCACACAATGCTCAAGGTCTTCCGTTACCTTATGCAATTGGTGGTCCTTCAACATCTTCAAGAACTAATGTAGCCAGTGAGTTAGGTAACCTTCATCCACCTTAACATTTTTAAAATGGAAATTTTGGTCATAGAATTTCTGATCTATAAACACTTACAACGTATTTGGATCTGAAAATTTTACAGCAGACAACAATTCAAGTGGTGAGGATGAACCTGTAGAACCTAAAGGTGACGTACCAGAAGATAACGATGTACATGGGGAAATGGTTTGCTTCCTAAAAATATATTATGTGTTTTTTTTTTCTTTATGCTGTCGTTCATCCTTATTACATTTTTTTTCAGCAACCATTTGAGGGAGGTGGCGAATTCAATCAGTTTCGCCGTAAATCCATTATACCTGTTGATGAAAGTGTGTTGTCTGAACTATCTAGGCATCGTAGCTTGGACGATGTTCTTAATGGACCTCCTGCTCCTGACGGAAGTAACTTAAAAAACCCCTAATTTTTTTTACTTCGCTATAGAATTTTTCTGAAAATTTGCACTAGATGTAGGTTTGAATGTATTGTAGGGAAGGATAATGGGATCGGCAAACATTATTAGAACTATGGATTAGTTTTGTGTATTTTACTTTTTTTTTTCTTTCCCCTTTTTTTTTTGCTTTTACATCATTCGTTCGCCATGACAATGATAAAACCAAAAAAAAAAAGGCCGTAAGACGATAATTGTTTTTACTATTTCTCTTTCTTTATTGTTTGATACCACTCAGACAAGTAGTTCTAATTCTCCATGTTTCTTGAAACCTAACGGGAAAATCTCCTTTAAAATTAACAATATATAATTGACAAAAAAAAAGGGATCATTGAAGACTTGTAATTCTGTGATACCGTTACATTTTAAATGTAAAAAAAAAAAAAATACGGACATCGGTTTTAGCTGACTAGTCATAATCTCCAATAATTTTAATACCTCCTTAATTTATGAATCCACACTCGAATTACTATATCCTGTGGCTGATAAACAAGAGAAGGTAATTGGAAGATATGAAATATTTGAGAAGTTTAAGTAGTTTTACCAATCTATTTTAATTAATTAAATATTTATTAATAAAAATACAAATGAAAAAAAAACAAAAAATTAACATGTATAATATTTTTGAGATATATATTTATATAACCTGATAATGATAAAGATAATTATTGCACCATCAAAATTAAAAAAGAAATCTATTAAAAAATTGACTAAATGGGATTTTCAGATCGGATAAATCGATAACCTGGCTGATATTCAGAATAATTCAAATCGGAACTCTAGACTAAATGAAAATGGTGATTGTGTAGTCGATTTGGCATTAGCCGATGATTTTGACAAAGTATAGTGGGTTAATGAAAAATTTGGGATATAGTAACCAATCATTATATCATAAATATTTATAATATTTTATAATTATTGTATACGTAGGGTTTTAAAAATATCTTGGGGTATTAAACGGTAGCAGATGATTGGCTGCTATGCGGCCAATCACATGTTGCCATTTGATATCCACGAGAATATTTTTAATGGTAATAGTTATTGATAACTATACTTGTCAAATTTAGGTATATGTTATGTTTTAAGCTTATTCCAAAACTCTAAAGTTAGCTTTAACATTAAGGTTTATTTATTTATTTTTTAATTATTAAGTTGAGGTCTTGCTTATATTTTTATTAAGTAATTTATAAAATAGTAACATATAAGCAGTACATACATTTCTACTATTTGTACTAGTACAAATAAAAAGAAAAATTACATGCAAGAATAAAAGCTTAGGCAATTAAATAAATCTAATTTATCTGTGATCTAAACCTATTAGAGTGGTTCAAAACTCACTTAGATAGTATTATTTATAGTTAAAATAAAGTTAGAAGTTGTATTATACTTGATTCACAAAGTGATCCAAGTATTAATTTTTTTAAAAACTTATTCAACAAGTGAACAGGTTTCAGTATGTAAATGAAGTTGATTACAGAAACAAGAATATATAAAATTATAATAAGTATGTATATTATTTCTATTATAAAAGAATAAAGTTTGTTAATTGATATATGTCTATATTATTTGTTGTTTTTTTTAATTTGAAAAATTAATACAGTAAGGTTTTTATAATTATTTATAAATTTATTTGTTAATTTCAAGCAGAATATTAATTATAATATTAATGTTAGTTTGTATAAAATTTTTAGATTCTGAATAGTTTTAATTAGTGATAAAGGAATAAGACTTTTAAGAATAATTTTTATATAATATAAAGATAAATAAAGAGATGTTTTTTTGAAAGTTGAATGATTATTAATTTTTTGAATAAGTTTTTTAATTTTATTGTTAAAGAAGTCTAAATTAGTTAAGTTTATACAGTTAGCTATTATATTAAAAATAATGCTATCAAGCAAAGAAAAATTAGTACAAGTATATTAATATAATAATAATATAATTAAATTGCAATAAAAACAATTAGTAGAAGATGGCAATCCTAGTATAGTGGTTGGGTTGTCATTCTCCAAGTGGCAGGTTTAAGGTTCAAATTCCACCTACAATGAAATTTGGAAATTATATCTGCATTACAGTAACTGTTTTCTGTTGATCAGTTGGCCTCATGTGACTGTTATTTAGGTATATCAAGTTGGGTCTCTCTGACTTTGGAAGTTCAAACATCTATGCGAAATGTAACATTACATGTATATAGAGAAATGTTTATCAGTATTGCATAAAACTTCGGTGCAAACTCATGATAAGGCTATCGGGCATAGAAAACTAAAGAACTGAGATGATAGAAACCCACTTGGAAATCCCTAACTAAAGAGGTAGCATAAACTTTCGATAGTACCATTGGACTGGTTGAAGCCTATGAAACACCTTTATAGAAACCAAAAATTAAAATCAGACATCAAATATGTGTAGAGAAGCATATAACCAACCAGACCACTGAATTCGCTAAAGAAAAAGGATACATAAGTATACCATACTGGACCATCTAAATTAGTAGTCTGAAATAAAACTAATAGTTCCAAGTTGTGGCTAGTAGAAAATGATAAAGAAGATATCAGAAAGATAGGTGCTAGGGTTCTAGTGAACTTTACAAGAGTAAAAATAATATAATGTAGTGGTTAAACAGATAACCTCTGTGACTGCAAGTACCGTATTTTCCCGAAATTAAGCTACCCTCCCTACTTTGGTTAAAAACTTCTAATATACCTAATATTCAAAAATAAACTACCTTTTAATTTTTGTCTAAAAATCTATAAAATTTATAATTCCAAAAATAAACTACCTGTATAAAAGTTATAACCTCTCAAATCTTAACCAATTAAACTTTAAAATATTCTAAATAGATTAAACCTTTGCATATAGTAAAGTTGTTAAATATATAATGGCATTAAACGTCTATATCAGCTTTGCTGTTTACTGTAATTATTCTGCCATTAAAAGTATTTTTTTCAGATCCAACAATTAAGAATCTCGAAAGCATTTTATAAATTTTCCAGTGACTCTTCAAATTAGTAAAACCTTATTAATCACTTATTAGAGGGTTTCAAAGTTAACAAACAAAGTGGCGCATTTTGAAATTAAATAAGAGTTTGAAAAATCTTATTTGTATTTCAAAAAATTTTGAAATCAGAAATAGAATAGGAG